TTGTCGATCGCATGTTGAAACAACAGAAAATCAACACCAAATAAAATCAACACTGGATTTAATGGATGATCAATGTTGATTGTGAATCAACGGCATATAACGAAGTAAAATCAACAGCCGGCTGTTGATTTTACTTGACGATAATCTTTCAACGTCAAGTCACGTACATTATCAACAAGGGCATGCCTACTTGAACGAGCGCTCGTTTCGTGTTGATTGAGCATCATTTCAACGGAGGTGGTAAGAAGCACGATATCATGATTCAGGGATACATGCATCACACATTCCAAGTTGTATGGCTGTCTCGACTTCGATCTCATCTGGAAGAACGCTTGGAGCAAACTGGATCATGATACAACGCTTGAACTGTTACAACCTTCAATGTTACAACTCTCAACAGTCTCAACAACAATACGGGGACAACACTCTACTTCTAGACACTAAGGGCCCGTGTGGATACCGACCAAGTCTTGTCAAATGAGATGCATAAGTAGTGACGAAGTACTTCAGTGGTTATCACAACGAGCTAAACTGGCTAATCTAACTACTGATTCGGGTTCGCTGCGCTGTCGTGGGTTTGCTCCGTCGAACCATTTTCATTTGCCCCGGCTGCTGCCAGTGCCTTCGCGCGCTCTCCTGCACGGCTCTGAAGCCTCATCGGACAAACCGAAGGGTCTTCTGGTGCCACAACGAGTACAAACGCGCTGATTCGGGTCTCTCCAGCTAGAGCCTCCTCCCGTACTTGAAGCATCTTCGCCTCTTGCTTCTCCAACCGCTTGATGCCCCGGAAATGTAGCTCCAGCTGCGGCAAAAGGAGAGGCCCTGTCAGCTTGGTACCGGGCACCATCAGGTTGGTACAAACGAGGACAACGGTGTGCATTTCTTACAGTTTGAGCTGGACATGTCCCAATGATACGGTCCTCGATCAGGCTCGACATTTTACTAAGTTATCAGAGCTCTCCAGGCTGCCGAACAATCCGACTGGCCACAGAATGGAAGGTGCACGCGCGATAAAAAAAATGGTCGACTACTTCCGAGCTGCTTTTACGCTGCACGAGTGTACGCCAATCCAACGGCATAAAGGGTGGAAGCGCTTCTGATTCCATCACCGCAGTCCCCTCTGTATATTGGAAAGATTGAGGAGCTAGCCCTTCGCAGATTATTTGGAAGGAGACGTGTTTCGACGAAGTTTGAAAGAATGCTCAATCTGCATCTAGCAAATGAGCCACCCAGTCGGGGTGGCCGATCTGGACAGGGTTAGAGAGTACGTACCACAACCTCGACCAGTGCAAGCCGAGCGATCGTCACGATCAACTGATCGGGTACAGGCTGATGGTCGACGTCGACGCCGCACGCCTTCGCCAGCATTGTCCGGAACCGAATGTCGCCGTAGGCGTCCGTACCTGCCTTGCGATAGGCGTCACCTGTCATGCACGAATGACGATTGGGAATATCATCAGCAGACGTCTCAAAGAGTTCCAGATATTATACTAGAGATCTGAAAAGAGTACAAGGACGATTTCAATTATAGGCTGCTCGAAAAAGCTGGACTCAACTTGTTTGCGAGAAACATATTGATTTGCCATCCAAGGCAGTTCTACAAGGAAACCGGTTGCTGTTCCACACATTTGACAAAAGTGATCGAAGTTGCTCAGAAGAGAGAACACGGATCCTCTTGAACTGTTGCTTACGTTCGGAAATTGAAGCTTGACGTACATGCAGTACGTCTACTCCTCTCTTAGCAGGTCTGGCAAAGAAGGAAATTTGCAGCTCGCACATGATGAGAAGCGAACGTCAAAGCGAAAGAAGCTATTGCTCGTATGTCTGGCTGCCTGCTCTCCGGAACAGTGAGAAAAACCCTTGCCTGCAAGAAGCTCGGTGGTGATCTTCGACCAGTCTTCGGTTCCAGTCGCCGGCAGGTTGTACCACTTTGTGGCTGCTGCACGGATAGTTGACACCGCCTGGCCCCTTTTCATGCGGAACTTGTCCATCTGGTGAGCTTGGATAAAGTCTTCGTAAAGCTCCTCGAACAGCTCCTCCTGCTCCGGGTCAGGTCCTACCCGGAGTGCGAGCTTGGTGCTGCTTCTCATGAGCTCGGAGTCAGCAACTCCGGATGTGAGCATGCTCAGGTTGACAGCACCGGACACCAGGAGCTGCAATATAGGAATTAGTCTTAGCACAGGAGACAACGAAGGGCTTTGCAAAGAGTTCACTGGCTAAGATCCACGAAGATGGATCTGCAGCCATACCAGATCATGCTCAAGATTCGTCATGAAATACAAGGTGTCATTGGTCAAGCATTGCGTAGGTCACATTCAAAGAGAATTTGAAGCAATCAGGTGCCAGAGCCCTTAATAGTAGGACAAGCACCATCGAGACAGCACAGATCTGGAATGGAGCTAAGCGCATTGATTGGCCTTAGACACGACGTGAGCCGAGATTGCAGAGTTTGTTCTTGGATTCTGGCTACTTACTTTGATTGGGGACTTTGCAGAATTGAGGAGCTTGGGGTTTGCCTTAAGTCTCTCGAGAAGCCCAAGCTGGTGCTCGGATACTCCGCCCTGCAAAGCATCTTTCGCTTAGTCCTTGGAGATGATTCGAAGGTCCATGACAAGCTGTTTGTTTCTCGTAGTACTGCCTCTCCTTTATGCAATTCTGCTGCTCTGAATGCAAGTAAGGAGACTTCAAGCAAGACCTGGCAACATGTGTTAAAGACCTTCACCTTTAGTACTACTTTGTTCGAAGTGTTTGCAAGCTGGAGTTGGCCCTAGTGATGCTGGACACCACACTGATCTGAGCTACTGTAGTCCAATAATGCATTCAAACTTTGGTACACTGTTGCGAGGCATACCGTTGGGATCTGTAGGAAAAAGACGCTCCCCTTAAGGGGTCTTGGTTCCATCAGGTTTAACTACAAAGCACTCCGCAAACAACAAGGTGAAAAGAGATAGGAATATATGTCAACGATGGCTGACACCACATTGATAAAAAGAAAGTCTAAATTACCTGTTGAGTCACTGTCGCAGAAGACGTCGTAGGATCAGGACTTTGCTGGCTCGACCCTGGTCTTGACTTCTTGAAGCAGTTCAGAAGCTGAATCATTGACTTCTCCATCCTGTCGTTGCGCGCCAGTTGCTCAGCTTGGGCCTGCTGCATTTTCAGGTGTGACAGCAACAGAAGGTTGAGGTCGATACCAGCTTCGGTGGAAGCCGCATTGAGCACCAGGCCACCTGCGGCACTCCGACGGCCATTGGCTTGAGACTTTTCACCTGAAAGAAAGAAAGACACTCGAATCAAAGAGCTGGACCTTATCATTCGTAAAGCATCTGAGATCTCAGGACCCTGCCTGCACATCTCTAGATGAGTGGGCAACTTTAGCAGGAAAATCCAACCTGCCTATTTGTCACACTGTAGGTGGCTATCTTTCGCTTCAGATAAGCAGTTGAGGAGCAGATGTATGTTTCAGTAGATCGAGGCAATGTCATAGCACAAGACATTGCAAGTTGCATTAATTGAGTTGACTCAGTACCACGTCCAGGCCTGACCGTTCTTTTCTTCGGTACAAGAATTCAGATTCACACTTCATTGATACTCACCCTTCTTTGTGGTTACGGGGACGATCGCCCCACTGTTTCCAGACTTCTTCCTCTTTTTGCGGGTTTCTTCTTTCCTTGGAATCGCTGCCAACAAGTCAGCGAGCCCGGTGTCTTCTTCAGCATCGCCGCCATCAGCCTCACCACCTTGCAGATTAGAACAGGGGCTTGACGTAAGCTGCTGTCATGTGATACAGAAAGATGCTTCAAATTTTGTTAAGCTTGGGCTGCGCTGACAAGAGGTTGTAAACTCGGAGATGTATCTGCAGAAGTCAGGATGTTCAGAATGCTAGTCTTCAAAAACCTCTTCAATTCTGGAATGCATTGCGAATCTGAACCCATGGCAGCTGACACCAAGCTGGTGCAGGAATTTCATGCATCAAAGACCAGTCACTGCCTTTGTCCTGTCTGCTGTCAATATTCCCACTGAGATGGCGGATGCTTTTGATCGCATGGCTGATTATTTGCTGCTCTCAAGAAATAAAGACAACCATCAGTGCAGATTCTGCTCAGACTTATGGAAAAATCTAATGATTAAACATTACGTCTCAAAGTTACATGTGAGAGTTGCCTTACTCCTTTCAGGACCGTTCTGCGCCTCTTCAGAACCCAGCTCTTTGGCAATGTCCTCCTCCTCCAGGTCATCATCGCCCTCGCCGTCGGTTTCTTCCTCACCATCATCCTCACCCTCATTGTACTCGGAACCAGACAGCTCATCTGAAGGCTCTTTGTCGGCTGCCTCAGCGCCGCCAGCATCATCATCCTCCCCCGACTCCTCATCGCTCTCGTTGTCTTGGAACAGTGACGTCATTTGTGGCCTGTTCCTTTTGCCATTGGCATTGCCCTCAGACTGACCCGCTGCAGTAGCTATGGCTGCCTTTGCTTTAGCGAGAGCGGCTGGATTCTTGGTCAAGGCAGTGACCAACGTCGCAAATTCTCCAGCGTCATCCCCCAGCATGTGTGCAAGGCGGGCCTCTTCCG